GGTTGTGAGTTTCTATGTATTTGTCCATTTCCTGTAGGTCTTTATGTTTGTTTGAGTATAGTTTTTCATTTATTTTAGTTGGTTCTGTTGTGACATTGCCCTTTTAATTTCTTATTCAGATTATTTGTATTTGTATTTTTTCCTTGCCAGAAGTATATCAATTTTATTGAACTTTTCAAAGAAACAAGGTCTGGCATTGATACTTTTAATTGTTTTTTCTGTTTTCTATTTCATTTATTCCTCCCTTAAATTTTATAATTTTCTTTCTTTTCATGGTTTTCATGTTGTTAGTTTTCTATTTGCCAAAGCAATTTGATTAAATTTTCACTCTTTCTTCCCTTTAAATGTGTTTGCTTCTTGCTATGAATTGATCTTTAAATACAGCTTTTGCTGTATCCCAGAGTTTTTAATAAGCTGCAGTTTCATTCTCATTTGTTTTCAGAAAGTTTTATTTAGCTTCCAGGTTGCCCTTTCACAGAGAAACTCGATGAATCTCTTTATTTATTTTTCAATTTTCTACTGGTTTATTTACAAAAATGGAATGAATACATTGTTTTTAAGAACAAATTTTTTCAGTTTCCCTCACCCCCATCCCATCAAATTGTACAATCTTGATTTCTAATTTTGTAACATTGTGGCCTAAGAAGGTATGATTTATATGATTTCATGAATGGTAATGTCTATAGGTTTTTGTTTTTTATTATTTAAACTTTTTTTTAATGTATGAAGGCTTGCTTTGTAACCTAAAATATGATGTATTCTGGAGAGTGTTCCATGTGTACTGGAGAAGAATATTTACTGAGCTTTTTTTTTTTTAGGGTACATTACCCTGTATACATCTATGAGAGTGGGTTTATCAGTTGTATAGTTTAATTTTCAGCATCTTTGTTGAGATTGTTTCTATCATCCTATCTTCACTTAAGAGTGGTATACTGAAGTCTCCTGTTACTATCATGGTGTTGTCTATTTCTTTTTTAAGTTCCGTTTTTTTAAGTTCTTTTTAAGTGTGTCTCTTGTAGACTGCATATTGACAGATTTTGTTTGTTAAAGCTGTTCTCTTTTTCTCTTCACTTGTGCATTTATACCATTCACATTCAGTGTAATTATTGACAGACAAAGTTTGTTTCCTTTTTTTTTTTAGCCAAATTAAAGTTTATTTCGAGTTCAGCCCCCAGCCCCCACATGCTGACACAGCAGCATCCCGAGCTGGCGCATGCTTCTCCTTTTTATACTCCTGTTACGTCTTTGTCTAACTATATGTTCTACGATTGGCTACCTGTAGTGGTTAGAGTACTAATTTGCTTTCAATTGGTTAGCTATTTAGCTTAGGGAAGCTGTTTGGAGACTTGTTTGAACCTGATTGGTAAGGAAATGGTTTGGAAACCTATTTGAATCTGATTGGTTACTTCAAATATAGGGAAGTTTGTTACCCTAACGAAAAGCCCCTTATACGAAGAAGAATTCCACTTTATGGCAGTTGACTAATCAAGGTGTGATATACCACAGGTGGGGGTTGTTGGCTAGAAACTACTCAAGCGGGTGGGGTGTGGGTAGCTATACTTTACCAGAATCTGATTTTCTGATACTTGGTTCTCACATTTCCCACTAGTTTTTCTCAGTTAATAAAATCATTGATTCATCAGTTTCAGTGAGGTACTGATAATGGGTTTGAGCCATAAGGATTTTAAGGTTTTCTTTGATTACTTCAGAATGGTTAACATAAAAACAAGTTTCTCCGAGTGCAGCACATAGACCTCCTTGTTTCTTTTTTAAAAATAATAAATTTGGACCTTGTCTATGGTAACAATCGCATTATCTTTTACCATCTGAGATGTTGACTATCAGGTCTAACATTAACTCTTACAGACCTCAGTACAATACAAAGATGTTTTCTAGAATACCTTATTGTGTGCTCTAAGAAACAAAGAGTTTCGGTAGATTACATTTCCTAAGGTCTGAGATCTTTGGTCACTTTTATTTTTTTAACATCTTACTTCTTGAGTGGTTTATTGCCAAGCATATTTTCTAGCCAAGATGGAGTTAGTCTTGCTGGTTTCACAGTAGAGGGCTAAACTTGCTTTACAAGTTGGTAAGGCCCCTAACAGTTCACCCCTTATAAAATATAGGATGTTGCCTGTCTTAGGTGGATAAGAGAACTTAAACTCAAGTTGCCCGTCATGGGGATAATAGCAATTTATGCTACTTCCTGTCTTAGGATCAAGAGCGAGTCTCTTTCTTTACCCGTCATTGGCTACACATCCTGCATTTGTCTGGATAGGACCTTAAGTTGAATTTTATGTACTTTACCCAGGAATTCTTTATAACACTTGCCTAATATATGACCAACACAAGGGAGGATCCATAGTATACCTATTATAACAATACAAAGAGCAACAATTGTAAAAAGATTTCTAAATGAAGTTACTGAAGGAAAACAGTTTTTCAGATTTTTAAAAATTAGACTAACTTGTTCCGCTGGAGAGATATTTATATCTGGAGTATTCTGCATTTCTATAATTCTTTGGTGCAAATCATACAAATCAAGAGAATCATTATTAGACATCCAAACTCCTTTTAAATGAGATACTATATTTGTCCATTCATTATCTGAGCTATTGTATTTTAATTTTGTAACACAAATAGAGTCCTAGGCTGCATGACCTCTTAACTTTTCTTTCATTCTAATTTGTTGTACCACGTTTCCTAATACATTTACTGTATCATATAGAGCATTTAATTTTTGTTCCATAACATCATCCACATTTTCTTGCTCTACCCAATTTTTTGTCCCATTATGCATTAACCCATTTACAAACTTAGCTGTTTGAACTTCTTGAGTCAAAGCTATAGCAGAAGTAGAGACGGTAGCAATCACAGAGATAAGAGAAACAATTCCTACAATAACATGACCTATAGCTCTTATGGCTCTTAATGACAATTTATATAACTCTTAAAATTTGCAAGCTTTTATCATCATACCAAATATCATTTAACTTTACTGGTGTCATAACAAAAGGAGGATTTTTTAAAATAACAACTGAATCATCTTTGGTAATAGAGCTGGTACAGTTAGAGATTTTACAACGAGAACAACTTATGTTATATTTTGGATAATCACCAGTGATCACATTATTACCAATTAATAAGACATATGGTTCAGGTACACAAGACATGACTTTAGCATTTGTAACATTATCTCTCTTACATTTATCTTTTGGGATACAGGAAATATTTATCGATCCCATACTTGCAACTAATTTCCACAATTCAGTTTGAAAGTTCTTCATATCAATAGTCCAAATTCCTCCTACGAATCCTTTCAAAGGAAGTCTAGAACCATATGTATAAAGAGGTGACCAGTCTAATAACATAAGGTAGTCCCAGCGGGGCAGCATTCCAACCGTTGGTCCTTTAAAAATTACATTACCGGTACTAATGTTAGACAAGAGTATGCCCTAGCACTGTTATGATAACATTTTCTCCAAAATGGTTGCCAGATGCCAGTATGACCTTTCTCAAAACATGAGGGAAAGTTGGCATCTGCTGGAAAGATACTATTAATTCTGCCTGCACCATATCAGGAAGCTTGTTGGTAGAAAGCCATATAATTCAATTGTACAGTCCATGATGGGTTTCCACTGTCTAATTCTGAAGATACTCTTTGCATCTTATTAACAAACACCCGTTTTTGTTTTTGTTTTTTTTGTATGCTTTTGGTAAAACAGATAGGATATCCTAAAGCATACCCAGAATAATTGAATGGTTTTTCTTCCCATTTTATATGACTATTAGAGGGATATCCTAAAGCATAAGTATTGTTAACATAAACAGGTATGTGAGACTCATTCCATGTTGCCAGATGCAGGAGAGGAGGATCTGTACATATGTCCAGTAGGTCTCTTCCATCATCACCAGACCAATGCTGCACAAGACACTCAGGCAGCCAATGAGGAGATTGTTCATTCTGTGGAAAAACATAAACATGGCCTCGACCGCAGACCAGAACTGGATCGGGCCCCAACTATTTGTTATTCATTGGATCTTTCCATTTTACCTCTGCCTACTTACCAGGTTTATTTGTCCGTTGCCTGTCTGTCTCGGAGCAGCCATCTTTGTCTAAGTTTAACAAATTTAAAATGAACATTATTTCAGGTAGGAAGAATCCTACGGTGATGTCACAGTTACTCTGTTGGCCGACGATCAAGGTTTAGATAGAATTTAGAGAGATCTCGCTGGGGCCTCCAAATGTAACGGAGTGAGTTCCCAAAAAGATCACCGAGCCAATTAGCCAAATTATCAAAGTTTATTTCGAGTTCGAACCCGGGCCCCCACGTGCTGACAGCAGCATCCACCTGAGAGCCCAAAGTTTTATTGCTATAATTTTGTTGGATTCTTTTTTGTGTTGTACCTGATTACTTTGACCCATTCACTTTTTGCTGGTGGTGTCCCTTTGGGAAGGACATCATTTAATGTTTCTTGCAACATTGATCTTGTTTTCACAAGCTCCCTTAGTTTGAGCTTTTCTGAGAATGTCTTGATTTCTCCATCATATTTGATGGATAGTTTTATTGGGTACAGTATTCTTGCTTGACTGTTGTCTTCTTTGAATATTTGCTAAATGCCACTGTCTTCTTGCTCACATGGTTTCTACTGAGAAATGACACCTTCATTTCCTATCTTTTATAAATTACTCTTCATTTTTCTCTAATTGCTTTCAGAATTCTCTTCTTGTTCTGACAAATTTGAGTATGAAATGACTTGGTGTTTTTCTTCTTGAGTCTGTGCTATCTGGGGTTTGCTTAGAATCTTGGGTATATTTTCTCCCATTTTTCATGATACCTGAAAGTTTTCTTCTAATAACCCTTCCACAATTTTTTTAATGCCTTGTTTTGCTCCTCCTGTTCTGTAATTTCACTATGCACATATTATTCCCCTTGATGATCTCTCACATTGTTCTTAGAAATTCTTTATATTTCTTCTTTTTTGATTTTGCTTTTTTCTCTATCTAGCAAAAAATTATTTTTGAGTACTGAATAAAATAGAGTGAAAAGGATCTAAAGTATTGAATAGCCCATGAACTTCCAAAAGAACAAACAGATATGACTTAGAAAAGGTGCAGCCAGAGTGCTCTTTGGAGGCAAAAATAACAAAGCTTTATCTCACATACTTTGGATATTGCTACAAGTGACGATGGAGGGCCAAAGAAGGAGAGGGAGACCCTCAGCCAGATTGTTTGGCAAATGATTTCAGCAATGGGCTTGAGTATGTCAGAAATTTTGAGGATGTCACAGGACAGGACAGGGCTCAGATCAGTTGTTCATCGTGTCACTATATATCTTGTCCTTGACTCTGTGGTACCTAACAAGAACAGTTTTGCTCCAGCAGATGAATGTTGAGAATTCTGTCTTCCATTTCACTGATGCTGTGCTCCATCTTTTCACTTCTGCTCATCTTTCCCTCCAACATGTTGACAGCTTCTCAAACATTGGTCTTAACTTTCTGGTTTGCTGCTTCTTGGTTTTTATTTAGGTTTTCCAGTACCTCATTGTTTTTATCTGTTTTGTCTTGTATTTCTCTTCTACATTCCTCTTGGATTTTGCTTGTATATTCCTCAAATTCTTCGACTTGGCCTTTCATCTGCTGAAAATAATTGGACGTTGTTCTTTTAAATGCTGTGTCAAGAAGTTTAATAAGACTTTGCACTTTCAGGAACCCATTGTTCCTTTGTTTTAATCACTGTGAGTTTTTTTCTTTTATTTTTATTTATTTTAGGGCTGATATCTTAAGTTGGTTTTGTTTGGGGTGTGAGGTAGTCTGCTTTTTCCACACCATTTCTGTGATGGAGATTTTCTAACCTGCAGTCCTTTCAGAGTCTGGTGACTTTGGCTGGGAGCTCACTGTGCAGAGTAGGGCAACTTGTTCTGCCTGAAAACCTCTCTGGTCCCCTTAGCTGCCAGGAAATTTGCCTTCACTGGGAGCTCTTAGGGAGGGCAACTCACCCTGCCTTAAGTCCTCTCTTTTCCCATGCATTGCAGGAAAGTTCGTCTTGGCTGGGTAGCTTATCTCTACAGGGAAGGAGAGGGAACCCACCCTACCTGAGTCCACTCTGGTCCCACAGGTGGTGGGAAAGCTCAACCTAGATGGGTAGTTCACCAGGAAGATAACTCCCCCTGCCAAAAGTCCTCTCTAGTCCTGAGTCTGGTGTGTGAGAGAACTTGCCTGTCGGGTGAGTTCCGCTCTTTATGGAAAGTGATGATGATTCAGTCTGCCTGAAATCCCAGCTTGTCATTTTAAATGAGATGGTCTCCCAGAAACATTTTCTATTAGGAAAAAATTTATTTGCCCATTTTCACTTGGACACTAAGTCAAATAAGCAGAGATGTAATTTGGAGTGACTTGAGGAAATTGAGGTGAGTGACAAGAAAAATTCTGCACTTGGACAGAGAACAGGTGGCACAGTGAGTCTGTACATAGGAGATATCTTAAAGCCAAAAGGGAAGATCTATCTGGAAAGTGGGCGTCTATAACATTCTGGGAAAGTCTCTCTATATAAATGTTATTGTTGTTGTTGTGGACCATCGAGGTGGAACTGATCCTCCAGAGGGTTTTCAGAGCAGTGAAAAATGCCCATCCTTCTCCTGCAGATCTTCCCCTGGTAGAATTGAGCTGCTTGCCTTCGGGATTGTGTTATAGCTTCTTGCCACTGGGCCACCAGAACTCTGTGAAATAAATAGATAAACATAGAAAGACTCAAATGACAAGCCAAGGAGCTGTGAGCTCTAGTTACGTCTTTCATTGTATCTCAGGATTTTTTATTTCTTTTGGTCACACAACTTGATCACCCCCACACTAAACATTTAACATATGGATTTATTGATTTAAATATTGAAAAGGACATCTTAGTATGTGCAACAGGTTGGCCCTTTTGGCCTGGAATCAAGACCTGTTTATTCTTGTTGCATAGTTTTGAATATCAGGTGGGTAGATGGGAACAGATTTCAACAGATTAGGGTTTGGTTCTGTGATCTGTTTGAAGCTGAACCTTCTTCTCCCCATCTTCCCCCCCCCCTCTCTCTCAGAACGAATTTCACAACAGATTTGTATAGTTAAGGATGCAAAAGAAGATGAAGAATATGTAGATCTTCTTGAAGAAATGCTAAAACGGGACTTAAAAGTAAGTATTTCAGTGTTGATTTAATAATCTCTACTGAGTTGTCGTACTTTGTAGGAAAGCAGTGAGAAATTTGTTAAACCTAATTTTTTCTATCACTTTGACTTGATAAAATTCTTTTTGTGTTTTGAGAAGCCCTGTGTGACACATGCAATCCCCAGACCAAAAAGAGGAGTCATCTTTATCGCTACAACCAATCACCTTCTCATTTACATTTGCATCTGACATTTGGTCTAAGGAAATTGATGAAGAATGAACATATATGATGGAATTCACAGGAATAATTTACAACTCTTTTGTGACTTTCCTTATTCTTGTTTATGATTTACTTGTGTTTTGAAATATCTGTTTGTCAGACTGATTTATTATAATTAATTCCTTTGTTTTCATTAAATTACCTGACTGCCAAATATAGCTTATATTCAACATTTGATTATTTGTTATCAAGAAACACATTATAATTCTAGCATAAAGCAAACAAAAAAGAACTTGCTTTAGTTGATACTACTATAGGGAAAAGAACAGGCTCTGAAGTTTGATTGACTAGACTGTACTGTAGGCTTTATTGTTAATTTTTTAATTTATAAATGGAAAATTTTAATATTCACATTTTAGAGTTATTGGAGGTTTAAATAAGATAATATTTCTAAAATGCTTAGAAAAACATCTAGTTTGCAATGTTCTAGATAAATACAATGAAACTAAAACTTTTCTGTCTCATAAAATCATACTTAAGTCAGAACGAACTCATAGGTGACATTTCATTTGGTTTTCAAAGAAAGAAATTTCCCATACTTCTCCCAGTGACCAGCTGTTTGATCTAAACTGCCACAGAGGTATGGCCTGGGACTTAGCAACACAAGGGCAATAATAATAACTATAAATATTCAATGATAACTTGAGTTAGTGCTGTGATAATATTAAGTACTAGAAACTATTATTTCCCCAGATACAATGCTGTATTGGGTTAATAAGCTATTAAAAATGAAGATCTCTGGAATATGAAAACTTCTGGTGAACTGTAGTTTCTGGGAGGTGTTAGAACTGGAATTGTTCTAAATTTCACCAGACAGTTGGTGTGAATATCTACCAGTAATAGGAGCAGACATCTCAAACTTGAAAGAAGATTGATGCCAGCTGGTGCTTACACATAAACGTTATACTGCAGTCTCTTTTGTGTTACATTTTGCCATAGGATTTCTTGGTATTGCCCCGTATTTAGTAACTTTAGCACCTTTTTTCATGGCTTATTCCCCATCCCCCATAATATATCTAATACAAATATCCTATGTTTTGTATACCAATTTCATTCATGCTTTCCATAGGACATTTAACTCTAGGCAATTTCCTACTACCTGATCTAGTAAAACATCCTTCTGTCCACCTGCATTCATAATTCATTCTACTAAGATTAGTAGCATACCAGTTACAAGAAGTTGTAAGTTAACAATGTCCCAAATACTTGATCTACTAGATAACTCCATTATTTCCAACATCCACAATTCCTCTTTTATTCAGTTCCCCTACTCCTCTATGTCCTTTGGGTTTGGTGGCTCACTGGAAAGTCTCATGGAGACTCAGATCTATCAGAGGAATGACTCACATGACTGTAGGTGATCCAGGCCAGTGTTGCAGGGACCAGTGAGCATTGGAGACTGTCATTTGCAGTGCAGCTGGAAAGTGGACTTCCCCAGAAGCGACCTAGAATTGAGCTAGTAGTCAATGGCAATAAAAGATACTTTGAATGGTAAACTTTTGACACCACACCACCCTTGGATTGTCTCATTCGTATTTTTTTGTATTAATGCTATAGCTAATATAATAGAACACGAGGAGTGTTGCTGAAATTCTGCTAGTCCTTATATTGAATCAATCCAAGTTTTTTGCTGCAATATCTAACTTGTTTTTGACCAGATTAAAAAAAAGTCTTAATTCCATTTTTTCCTTGAAAATTCAAAATGACCCATTCTATAACTATGTACACTGTGATGAAGAGCTGATTTTTTAATCTTCTAAGTAACATGGTCTCTTTGCCTGTATTGATTTTTTAATTTAAAGTCTAACCACTTTACTAGACTTGTTAATCTTGATCATTTTTGGTTGATTTTCTAATGTACACTATATGCTTTTCCATGATTCTATTTTAGTACTTTTATTTAATGGAATTTTGAAAATTACATTAGTGATTTTGATATTGTTTATTTCATTGCTTTAGTTTTCATCAACAACTTCTTGCTATTTGAAAGTTATGTATTTATAGATATAGATGAGACTAGCCAATCTTCTTGTAGATTGTTAACGTTGGCCAATCTTGTGGCATGGTAGCTAGCCAATCCCTTTGTGGATAGGCCCACATGTCCCATTCTTATAGTGCCTCTCTTTCACATAGATAGTCATCCTTAAGAGAAAAGCCATCTTGAAAGACAAACTCAATAGTTCTGTTACATATTCTCTAGTATTGCTCATTTTTAATGTAAGAAATTAATATAGTTATATGATTTTTCTACGTATGCTCTATTGTACATAGGGTTTTCGAAGGCCTGCCATTTTGGAAGTGGATGGCCCATCCTTCTTCCTAGTCTGTCTCAGTTTTAAAATATATTTAGTAGTATCTGACAGACAAGCATTCAAAAGACCAATATTCAGTGTTGCTGCCCACCTGCTACATGTTTGGTTGTTTTTTTGTTTTTTGGGTTTGTTTTTTTTTCTTAATCCAACCTTTCCCTACTCCCATCAATCCTTCCTACTTTTGCCTACAACATTCAACATTCAACATCTGTCTCCCATTGAAAAACAAATTCAAGCTATGGGTGGCAATACTTAAGGATAGTTTGGGTAGAATGTTAAATGATCCAGGAAGTATCAAAAAAAGATGGAAAAAATACAGAGTCACTGTGTCAGAAGGAATTGGCTGACACAGAGGAATTTCATGAAATAGCATATGAGCAAGACCCTATGGTGATGAAGTTGCTCTGAAGGAATTGGCTAAAAACAAGGCTCCAGGAGTTGATAGCATACCAATTGATTTATTTCAGCAAACAGACACTGCCCTGGATGTGCTCACCAAGTTGTACCAGGAAATCTGGAGGACAACCAGATGGCCAACTGACTGGAAGAGATCAATATTTATTTCCATTCCAAAGAAAGGTGACCCAACAGAGTGTGGAAATTAT